ATTCTGTCTAATGGTTTGGATTGTTCGTACTTGGTTTTATTTTATTATTATTATTAAGGCATGAGTGTAGGCTGGATTTTGATAATAGTTTTGATTTATTCGCGAAGTTCACGTGGCAAGCACTAAGTGTTATTTCATATTTCAAGAGGAACTAGCGCGTTCATTTTTGTTATGTGAGACTCTATAGTGACATCCCTGTTTCCACATTGAACCCTTTTTATAGCAGCGGAGAACTGATTTACAGTGTTGCTAGACAGAAGAGGTGTTGATCCCAACTATTTATTTTTAGCATTAACTTTAGATTTACTGTTGTTATTTATTTATATTCTACTTACCACTATTATAACTACTGTATCATAAATTATATAGCACTACCAGTTACTCCCAAACATTATGACTAATAAAAATTGAGGAGCGTAACTTGGAATTTGTACTATGTATACATACATTCAAAGTTAGAGGATATTGTTTCAAATTTGGTCAGGAATAGCAAAGGAGCGGGTTGTCCCTATTGAACGTCTTAGTAGAACTCCCGTATGCATTGTTGAATCTCAACGTACAGCTTTTATCGCTAGCTATTACAACTAGCTGTGTATTAGATACAGACGAGTCCTTAGCAGTAAGCTGCTTTATTATTAAACCATAGTAAGCAATCTGCAGGTGATCTCCGAAGTAGAGCGGGGGGGGGGGGGCGATTTACCAAATATCACCCCAATATCACCACATACTACCCAGTACTACAAAATAATGACGCAAAACGGACATATATGACTGTTTTTTTAAAAAAAAAAAAAAAAAATTGAATATATTTAATAGAGAGCCATATCGCGGAAAATGTACTTCAAATGCGATACCGATGTCTGGCTGTTGTATTTTCCCTTCCTGTACCACCCAAAACAAGCGATACCGATGTTTGGCTGTTCTATTTGCCTCCCTGTACCACCCAAAACAATCCAATTATAACCCAATATTACCAAATACTCATCAAATACTACCCGATATGATCAAATAACAGCCTAATATTGTCAAATAACAGCCCATTGGTATAATTACTGCAACGAATATTCGATATTTTGCAGACAATTGAAATGTTTACCCAGTTATCTCCCTTTACAACCGATAAAGGCAGACCACCATTAATTTCCCCCATTGACTTCAATGTTAATTCTGGCCTCTTTGCCCACCTCCAACTTTTCCCCAAATGTTCGTTGAGGTGAATGCTTTTCACTACAGACTGAGGAACAAATAAATGGTCATGTCTTCGCACTAAAAAATTTATAAGCTTGACCCAAAAAAAATTTGAGATACATAAACTTGAAGAAGCATTCTAAAAACATGTAACTACATATCACCGTAGCCAACCTGATAACCCTGTTATCCTTCCGTCTCAAAATCATGAATATTTACCAAAATCTGGCAGAAAATGTTAATTCAAACCCCCTTCGACCATTCTAGATCAAAAAATCAACAAAAAGGGGAGAAAAGAGACAGTGGCTACCGAGATGGTGAAATTGAATGGTGGTCTGACCCCTTTTAGATTGCTACTCGGATTAATGATCTTCTTTGGCTTTGCAGTTGGTTTCCAAGACGACAAACTTAAAATAAGAAAAACAAGTATGGCGATATACCATATTTATTCCCAGAATGACCCATCTGTCTCTTACCGCTTGATAGTGACAAGACGTGGGGTCGTATGCCAAACAAGGTAGGGTTTCATCTCACTGTTACGCAGTGCCGCTGTTAAACACTTCTTCGTGCAAGCGAGTTAAGGCATGAGATGAAACCCCACATTGTTTAATATTGAACTATAGGTTAGTTCCGAAATTACCTAGTTAGTGTCGATTGTATTTTTTAAAAAAATTAATGCTTTAACAAAATAAATTGCATAATGGTTTTATTCATTTTTTCATGTCAACGATACATTATTACGGGAAATTCGATAACGAATTGGCAGTTCTCACTATAATAGTTAAAAACTAGATAACGTAAAGGCAATTTGTGGAAAATTTCATTCAGATTGATCCACTATGAACCGAGAACTAAGCGATTGAAATTTCCGCCTAGCCTCGATCATCATTACTAAAGTCAGTACGATAAACAGCATAGTCTCGATTATTCATTTAATCTTTAAATCGTGAAGGAAAGTTATGTAGTAAATCGGCTCATAATCCACTTAAGATCGCAGACTAGCGATGCCATCTAGAGTTGATTATGGTCTGGAAAGGTTAATTAATGTCTAATTAATAATTTAGATAACATATCAGGCCTAAAGAAAGACGTGCAATAAACGGATTTAGTTCTTGCATAATGTATGTTAAAGTTATTGCATATTTACTTACTGCACGATGTTTTATTTTAAAATCAAATAAATTGTAATAAACATGTGTATTTTGTTTCAATGGCATTTAGTAATTGAACTGGAGTATGCATCGCTCAGCAATAAGCAGTAATTGTATTCCACAGAATTGTGACCTGTAAACATGGGCATTGTAATAACAGCTGCAATTTCGTTAATTTTAAAATAAAACATCGTCCATTAAGTAAATATGGAATAATATAATCGTTGACATAAAAAAATAAATATAAACATAAAAAATGCATTTTTTTTTATTAAAGCACATGCTATTAGGTTAATTTAAAATAAATACAAATATATGCGATTTCGTGTGAAACACATTCGTTAATTTTAATAGACATGAAAATATGAATATAAACATATTCAATTTAAAATAATTACAATTGTTCTCTTAAATGTTTAGGCTCACTCATAGACCTCATTTGTATAGACTCCACATGAGCAGGGGTTGGGGGTCTCCTCTCCACCCCCGCGCCTGTAGAGGTTATGTTATGCTCATTTTAAGACAAGCTTGTTGCATAGAACCAAACAATTATCTTTGAATTTCATGACGGAACAGTATCTCGACGATATTTTCTCATGTGAGAAGATCTTTCCAGGGCCCTGTCTGAGCGCATGGCGAGTCGACTCTGATACTCCAAGTAAAGTACGTCATAGATTATAACAAATATTGGCAGCTAACCATTCAGACACTCCTAAATTTTGTATCGTCTGGGGTCACTGCTGTAGTAGATGTCGGGCCTTTCGCAAAGTAGCCTCGTAGTTAATGGTGTGGACCATTATTCAGACTGGTTCTCGAACCATACAGAACCACAGAAAAAAAGAAGTGTTTCATCAAATCAAATAGATTTCATTTTGATGCAAAATGTAACAAATAGAAATAATAATTCTAATAATATTATAGTTTCATCAAATATTTGAACCTTTACAAGAATTGCGTAACACTAAGAGCCGCTTACATCTGGAGACCGTAATGTGATGTGTTTCCTGGTTTATCCACATAATCCAAATACATGATGTTCATGATGTCGAAGCGTTTAAAGGGTTTTATTTGAATCCCTTCAAGTGCCTGTGACTAACCCCCATAATCAGTCAATAATTTCAGAACTCGACTGAGCTACATCATAAGAGTGCAATGAACCGCGATCCTTTTATCGCAACAACTAGTAGAATCGGATACAAACACGTCTTTGGTTAAACATCTCAGACAAACAATTTAACAATATTAAAACAATAATACTTGTTTTATATTGCATCATAAATCGTTGTTTCGCGTCTAGAATAAGATGGAAGGCTGCACGGAGTTTTGAACCCCATTTACGCCATTCGTACTCAAGTCCTAAATAGCATTCGTGACCATTATTGGCTCAATTTTGTTTTTTGATAAACGACGTGGGGTTTCACAATAATTATTTTCCAACGTTAATAACTTGTCATTACATTCTGTGAGGGAATTCATCTTTGCCTATTAAGAAACGCACTCTTTTTTTTAACATGGATCTTATTGACTGCTGTCATCTCGCATTAAACGAAGGTAAAATATGGTGTTGATCAGAACTTGTACCAATTGGCATATTGACCGATTTCACTTACAGGATGGTGATGCAGGGAGGGATGTCAAGTCGGTATGTCTTGCATGGGGTATTTGTTTACATTTATTGATATGATTTAACCTTTAAATGTACGTTGAATAGATCGCTTGTATATATATAATGAACAACTTTGAGACAAATTATAGATATGTCACTGATATGGCAAGTTAGTTTTTAAAAGTGTACTTTAATTCCGGTTCATGTCTCGGGTCATCTTGATCGTAACTGTTAATTGATTCTGTATGTCTGATAAGAACCCAGCAGACACCTCTTGATGACACTGAGTGATATGGCTCCAATGTAATTAAAATTACGGCTGAGCGTAGAATACTGTTGGAACAAAAACGTGAAACCATACAATAGCATAGGTAATTGGAATCAATAATTGGTTCAAATTCAACAGTTTAGTATTGCATATTATGACCTGGTAAATAAAGACTAATCTCCGTAAATATGTAAATGTCCAGAAGCATCACATTAAAATTGTAACATAATTAAGAAATGGGGTTAAACGTCCTACCCCGACTGGGCTAATGAAGAAAGGGCATATGAGGGAAATTTTGCCCGGAAAGTGGCGCTAAAGTCTACTCGTAAATCAAATTCTAACTTCCAGGGGTTATTTTACGTGTGTACACGGGACCTCTCGTGTTCTTCCACCTGAGAGAATATACGTTGTCTTTTGCTAATCCTTCTTTCTGTGCCACTGACAAAGGAACGCCATACCGGAAAATCCCAACGAGCTCTACATTAAGAGTATCCAAAGTATATATACGATTTCTGTTACGTTTTATTTCATTTCATTATTTTTGTAAAAAATACGTGTACATAAAGGAAGCTGATAAAGTGATAAAAACACATAAACATATAACAGTAAGCCGTTAAATCCAGTGTCATTTCGGTAATAGTAGTCTGATCCCTTAGAGTATTCACATCCACCTTTCCCTGGTTATCTTCAGTTGTATTGCTTATTATTTATCGTCAAATATAGAAACACTGAAAAGAAATATAATGGAAATAAAATAAAAATATTTAAAGCAGGCTATAACATCACCTTAGGGTGTGTATCGTTTCGATGTTTTTACAGCTACCACATTCTTCTGTACTATTTTAAAAGTCTCAATCAACTGATCATTTTCATCAACTTGTCTTGTAACCACCATATCCGAGTCGCCTTCTTTAATACCTTTCTGATTTAAAATTAAAACGTCATCTTTTAGAGTAAACGTTGCCTTGATTTTTCTTCCATTCATCGTTTCGTCATCAAATGGAACTCCTAGTTGAAACTTAATGGATTTGTTTTTAAACGTGGATGTCATGTTGATTTCCCAGTTGTCGCCATTTTGTATAATTTCCTGACAGACTGTTAATTTGCTGGCCACTTTTCTCAAAACAAAATTCATACCCATGGCTGACATGAACTCATCCCAGTTTTCATTTTTCTCCAATTTCCAGTTCCCTAGTAATTGTCCCATGTTGTCAGTAGTATGTTCAGCAAGAATACCTTTTAATAGCTTGGTATGACGAAACACCGAATCGTATCACTAGTTGATCCGTCTCCTCCGTTGAACAATCTTTTAACAAATTACGCCCAAGGTTAAAGTTCAAAGTTCAATAATTGAATACTAATAATATCGTGTCAGTGTTTTATAGTTAGTCAACCAAAACGTAACATTCAGCGTATACTATAGATGTGAAGTGTGTGAAAGTTTGACGATGGTTCAAAATCAGACAAACAACTATACGGCGTAGATGATATCAAGGCCGTTTCAACACTACACGGGTGTTTAGTTATACAGAACTCTTCAATAGGGCACACTGTAGCTCCTTGCTTCACAGATATGTCACCAATATGTATACTGTTATAAGAAACTGCTGAGAAAATCATAAAGCGTGTATACACATTTATATATTGTATATATATATATATATATATATTGTATACTATAAGCTCTCTTTCAATGGATGACCGAAGGGCTTTAGGTTTGTCGTTGGTCTTCGTTGATAAGTAGCCTATATGTATTGTTTCATGATCGAGAGCGAGACATTAAGTAATATATTGTAACAACAAGAGGGCCGTAGACCCGAGTGTTTTACAATATATTATGCAATGTCTTAAACTCGAGACCATTAAACGACTTAAAATACAGACACCCCGCACGCGCTTTTGCAGTGAAATACGTCACACGAGTCCAATATTTCACTGGCATAAATACTGCACGATTGGCAAGTTGTCCGCACGATTATTTAAAATAATGGTACGCCAACATCAAAGGGTGACGTCACATCTGTATTTACGTCCACTTCCACCAAGGGTGATACCGTAGACAAGATTCAAACTTCACTATTTGATCAGTTGCAATATCGCTGTCACTATTTTATCATTAGTTAATCAAAACCTCCCTCAAACGAACACCAATATAAATAAATCTATTACTATCGCTAAATTATATCTATGAGCTGCTTATATCGCAAATAGTGTCTTATGATTAATTCACAATGCACCACTTAAAGGTCAGCCCCCTCTGTAACAACTGGATATACGTCACTTAGCGATTAGCATGTATATACATCTTAACTCGAAATGAATGATTCGTGTTTCGGTTTTTTTTATACAGTGACTGACTATCGAATGGCCAATTGATTTAAATCTGTGTTATGTTATTACTATAACGGCATGCGTAAAACTCACATAAGTAGTAGTTATTAGCACACTTTCCGAGGTGTATCGGTGAAGATCAGGACAGTTTTCGTCGAGAGGCGAGGGGCCCCGTCGAGGCGGCCCCGACCAAAACTGCCCTGTCTTTCATTTATTCTTTCTGTGCCTCACGTTACATTTCGTGGTAGACTGATTTCGCAGTGGAGAAACGACCTGAGTAGTATTTACACGTGCGTCTTGCTGCGTTACCCTGAGCGTAAAACAGTTACGTGTTTTTTTTATACTGCACTCCGTATTGAAAGACGGGGATCACGAGGCTAAGTGGGTAATACGCTTGCTCGCTAGCCTGGAGATTGGGTGTTCGATCCCCGCATTGGCCGAGAAAGTTCATCCCGATTTTCCGGCGTGGTTTCCCCTTGTCAGTGATGCAGGACGGAGGGCCTGACAAGGACAACTGTCTAGTCTTTCGGATGAGACGAGAAAACCGAGGTCCCGTGTATATATTGGAATGCACGTGAGAGAGAAATGGAGTTTAACGTCCACTCGACACAAACTAGGTCATTTCGGGACTAACATTGTTTTTAATTTTATTTCAATAATTCGCTTGCGCGTAGGGGTCTTTAGCAGTGGGAGGAACCCGGAGAAAACCCACGAGGTTGGACAGGCGACCCCACTCCTTGACATGTACATCTGGGGATTCGAAACCACACCAGTTGTAGAAGATCCCTTGGCAGTTGGAAGTCGATATAAGAGTAGGCGATAGTGCCGCTGCCCGGGCAAAATTTCCCTCATAGCACACTGTATGGCGTATGCCCGTCTTCATTAGCCCAGTATAGGAGTAGGACATTAAACCCCATTTCATTTCATTTCGTATTGAAAGACGACGGTGAACAGTCCATATGCTGATTACACTATTTTACTTTATTACACTATTTTGCCTATACCGTTTTTTTTAGGACTTCGAATTTTGTCTAATGGTTTGGATTGTTCGTACTTGGTTTTATTTTATTTGACGAAGTCGGTGAACATAGAGCCAACCACATCGTCAAAACAACTTGTCCCTGGCGTAGAAGGACTGCAATTATATTAAACGTTATGTAAAGGATACTGCACAACGTGGGTCAATCCTGGTGAAGCGTGCATCGGCGGATGGTTCGTCCGATGAAATTTATTTGTAATAAAATTTATGACTTTCTAGGCGTTTGTTTTCATCCTGCTTATTTTCAATGCTTGTATAAAAGTGTTTGTTTGTCGGAAATGAACAGTACTCGTTCTGGAAAGCGTACTGTTCATTTCTGATACACGGATACTTTTATGCCTGTATTGGAAATAAACAGGACAGTTTTATCAAAGGTTGCACTGGCAACGAGGTAGAAGTGGGATGTAATGTGTAATACATGTACTGACTGAAACCTGTCTCTAGTTGGGACAGTTTACTATTGTTCGAAATAACACAGTGAAACACATGACTATGGTGATTTCTGTTACCTGCTTAGAAATTGCTTTAATGACGTTTTAAACATTATTAACATTGAAATACAGAGCAGTGACTTTTAGTATACAGGGGCTAGAACAGTGGTTCTCAACCCTTGCCAACGGCACACCTTGGAAAACATGGAAAATAGCGGCACACCATGCTAAATATGTATGAAAAATATTTGAATTTTGCAAAATAAAAACAATGTAAGTCAGATGACATACAACCGTCGACAGACTAGTCACAGGCCATAGAATGACTCAAAAAACACATCTATGAACTTACCAGTAGACACCAGCGAATACTCAATTGGGATTACTGGTTTCTCGCATTTTCTTAGTGTGCCGTTCAAAATTTCGGGGCACACTTAGGAAAATCTCGCGGTACACGGGTTGAGAATCACTGGTCTAGTAGTTCACCAATCAAATTGAAGATAATATTTTCATGAATACAATTGTCATTGTTGTATAATGGCTATGTAATGTCACTCTAACCTTTATCCACTAATTATATTTTTAAAAAAAAGGTGCAATAGTGCGTCCTTGTAATTGTTCTTTTGGGGAGAAATATATTGTTTGTTGCCCACTCAACCCAATTAGTTCACTTCTGAACAACCCTCATCTAAATCTTTAGTGATGGATATTTTTTACTGATCGGGAACCAGTCTTCATAAGAAAGGGAAATCGGGCTGGAATTGGCTTTTAGTCGACCTCCATGCTGCATGTAAGTAGCTTTAATATCACGCCAAATATTAAAATAAGAGACTAGTATAAATATAGTGAAGGTTCCAGTGTTTGCTAATATTGATGTTCTGGGTGATCTGTTAAAGCCAACCACGAAAAGATTATCTTTGGGCTACGCTTTGGGGATATTAGCTTCTCACTGCACTGATGAAAAGACCACTAAAGTTAATTTGAGTTAAATAAAATACAGAGTTAAATCAATAACATGCCCTGTTTGACATTTGTTCATTAGTATTGAAACCAAAATTATTACCCAACATTTGCACTCCATGGGAGTATTGTCGTTGAGCATGTGCATAGATCACATTAAAGGTTACACTAAATTGTATTCTTGGGTCCTATGCATCATATCGGTAGCTCAAACAATACGATCATCTATAAACTGATTAAGCTTGTTATGTTATATGGGGAAATGTGGCTTAAAAAACGCAGCACTTTTAATTTATGTCATATAAATTGGGTGACGTAAAAGATCATTTAAGTTCACACCTATATTCTTGTTTATCAAAATTCAGCTGCTGTATGTGAAAAGCTATTCAACGTTGTAGTACTTCAACCATACATATATTATAGCGAGTACATTCTTTGATTGTGTAAACGTGTTAATGCCTTCAAAAGATTTTGATAACATTAACACTACAGGTGGCGATGTATTCGCCTTAGAATTAGTATTTCACCGACATCACCACCTACATGATCAATTTCGAAATGCAAGAATACTCTTGACACAAATATATGGGCATAGTCAAAAAACCGACAATTTTGTTTTTAGCTACGACTGATGAAGGGTTTAAATAACATTACTTTTAAGTTAAAGTAGCTAAGTCTCTAACTCAATATCATCCAAAGTCTTACACGTTGAAAATGCGAATTATTTGTCAATTCAAATCAACATTGGTGTTGTGATCTTACCAGGAAAAGGCAGGCTTCTGATATCCAATATTTAAGACAAAATAAATATTTTACCATTAATACACGAATCGTGTACCATAGTGCGTTTTAGCGTCAATTGCAACAAGTGACCAGAAAGAACGAGGCTAGACATATTCCACTGGAGAGTCTGCTGAAGAGACTTGAATAACCAGACGCTAGGGAAATTGCTATAGGGTTGAGACACATGCCTTATTTTGCTGGACATAACTGATTTGAAATTAGAGTCAAAACGGAAACAATTGAATGTAAAACAGTTTATATACAATTGGATTACATTATTATATGCATTGCGACCCATTTGGGTCAATTTCTAGGTCCCAAGTATTAGCGATTTAGCTCCTTTAAACTAGAACTCCCTCATAATTGTCTCACATATATCAATTTTTCTTGTTGACAGAAGATCTCTTTCAATCGGGAGTAAAAGGTCGCTCGTATAACCCCTGACGCGACCTCCCAGTACAACGGGTCAGATCTTTATGTAGTGTAGGCCATCGAAAGTATAAAAAAAAACGAAACATAGATCTATATTTTAATCAGATTGCAAATTACCCGGATAAAAACAATTATGGTGGATGATTTAGTTATGTTTGGCCCATTCTATTTTATTTTTATTTTGTTATTGAGATTACGAAAGAAATCAATAAGGAATGGTTATTTTTTAAGCTACTTGATGCCCATTTTGAACGAATTAACAGTCTCGTCAAGTTACTCAATATCAAGCTGCCAGGGGTAAAACAA